AGGACAAGGGGAAATGGATTTAAATTGAAGGAGAAAAGGTTTAGATTGGATCTTAGGAAGAAATTCTTCAGTATGAGGGTGGCAAGACTCTGGAATAAATTGCCCAGAAAAGTTATGGATGTCCCCTCCCTGGAGATGTTCAAAGCCAAGTTGGATAAGGCTTGAGTAGCCTGATCTAGCTGAGAGGCGTCCCTGCCCATGACAGGGAGGTTGGATTAGATGGTCTCTAAGGACCTTTCTGGCCTAGACCATTCTATGATTCTATGAACTTTTTGAAAAAATAAACCATAAATTAATTTGAAGGCTGAAGCAGGTTTTGTATGACTGTGGTATAGCCCAGTGCGATAAACTTCTTACCAGATTTTGAATATTTAGCTACACAGCCAGTATCGGCACTCACGCATACGTTAATGTTGCTTGTGAGTTCCAGCTCTGCAGAATGTGTATGTTGGCCACCCACTTCTTCTGAGAGTAAACTACTACTCTAGCATCTAATGATAATTTATATAGAGTATTTATATAATTTATATAAAGCCTTAGTGCTCCTTGCTTATTAAGGAGATCTGATTTAGACTGCGTAAAAGAAGCAAATCCAAACTACCACCCCTTGTTATGTTTTAACATTTTCAAACCACTACCATGGCAGAAAATGGTTCCCTTCTCACAGTTTGTGTCGCCAGCTCATCCCGGTCCTTTGGAAACAGGAGCATCAGTTAAGCTCTGCTGGCGGGAGCCAGCCTTTGCAGAAACCTGCTGGTGGTTGAGATAGGCACCGCACGTGTTCCTGGAAAGACCACTGGGCGCACTGGTAAGAGCCACAGTGCGCCAACTCACAAAATCAGTGGATGGTGAGAGGCCTGTATTTTTATTTTTTTTCCTTCTCAGGAAACATTTTGATTCTTCACCAAAAATATAGTTGGGAACAGGGAGGTGAAGCTCTGTTTCGCTCCGGTGCTGTTAGAATACTTAATACATTGAGGAGGAGCAAGCAGATTCAGGCGTGGGAGGAGATGGGCTGGTACTGTCCTTCCTTCAGCCTGGTGGCTGGTTTTTAACAGGGCGTTGCTGAGGCACTCCCAAATTGTGAATTATTTAGGCATATCCAAGGAGGTGATCCTTTCTGAAATACTGCTGCTGCTGATCTAGCATCCAGAAACTCTGCAGGAGGTGTATCTGTACCTCCCTGGACTGCCTCACCTGGGTGAGTACGTAGGGACGCTTGGACATGGTTCCTGCCTGTGATAATCAAGTCAGTGCCAAAATTAAAAAGCCCCATGTGTCTTGCAAAGTTTCTGTCTCCTGCACTTAATTAGACACCAGTAGCACTAGCTTTTAAACAAGAACTGGAAATGCATAGTGACTTTTATTGTAGCAGCGTGCGTTGGACGGAGCCCGGTTCCCCTTTGCTGGGGCAGGAGCTGCTGGCACACAACAGCTTTTCGGTGCCACCTGCCCCGCTCCGTGCTCAGCACACCCCGTGTCTGCGAGCTGCCAGGAGCATGGTGAGAAGGCTTCGAGGTATAAAACCAAAGCTCTCTCATGTCTGCCTCCAACAGCATTTTAAGCCCTGCGCAGGAGGCTGTGGGGAGCTCTGTAAGTGGTCCTGCAGCAGGAGGAGCAGAGAGGAAAGACTGTAGGGAATGTGCCTTTGCCACAAGTGTTGCATTGGTATTATGCAGTGCTGCAGCAATGTCATTTACAAGGTAGTTAAACTTGGTTTATTCTGTGTTCAGTTTATTGTAAACTCAGTTTATTTATCAGTACACTCAGTTTATTGATTGTAAATGAGTTACAATTCTGCAGGGGAACAGGCATCTTTTCTTGCAATAGCCCTTGAGAACAATCACGTTCCCCAGCATGTCAGATTTAGGCAGGGTGAGTTTATAATTTACATGCTGTTTGGGTGGGTTTTGCACTCTTTAAGGAGGGCACCTTTCTCAGTGAATGGTTGGCTTCTGCTGCTTTGGGAGTTCACTTCACCTCACAGGTGCTTGACCGCGCGGTCCCACAACCTGCACATCTCGGCACAGGGTGTTAAAATAAATCCTCACCTGCCCCAGCGCACTCCCTGCAGCACCTCCCGGACAGAGCTGAGGTGCTGGCTCAGCCCTCCCAAACTTTCCAGCAGCAGCCCTTGTTTTTCTTCCCAAGCAGGCACCTAAACCCATCTTCTGCAACACGCTGTTTCCAGAAGAGGCTTAAAAAGCTTCTCAAACCCATTTTTTTTCTTTTTCCTTTGCAGAATAAAATTAACACCTCATACTTCCATGTTCTTGTAAAGATTTATGGATTGCAGGAAGCTTCAAAAGGTGGAAAGAACCAGTAACCCTCTCATCCCCAATGAATTGTGTTTGGTTTTTTTTCTGCGTAATAACTTATTTATTCCAGGCCTTATTTTGTTGTGGTTTTAGGTGTGGGGTTTTTTAAGCTTAACTCTGCATAGCTGTTTTGCTGACCTTGCTCATTCATCCCCTTAACAAAAGGGATATATTTATACTTTAATTATTGGCGTTTCAGTTAAAATGTTGTTACCTTGCAATTAAGTATTAATAGCAATTGACCCTTGTTTCCTAGTCTGCAAAACACATGGTGCTTTATTTCCTATTTATTGTTCTGAAAAAACTCTTCCTTTATTCATATAATGCAGGTAGGAAAGCAGTATCACTTAACTGCTGCCAGCCCTTAATATTCTGGTATTTCAGTGCGTTTTCAACCTGAAAAACCCACCTTTTGCTTAAACTTGATTGAAAATTGCTCTGCTGATGGCCATAAGAAGTTTTTGGTTCCTTTCTTCATCTGTGCCACTGGAATTGTGCCGTGTTAGGCTCCGAGTTCTTTCTGTCTTGCAGTGGCTCCAGAGCAAAATGCCCACGTTTTGGGACAGAGATCTACTTTTCCTTGTTGGCATTGTCCCCTTCCTCCAGCTGTTTTCCCTCTGTTATGCTTTCCACCCCCGTTTTGTGTTGATTTTCGTGTTACCCGAGGTGATAGCAGCTCGTACAAGTGTGGCATCGCCGCAAGAGACGGGTCCGGATCCGGGCTGGGGTCCATATGCTTTCCCCGGGCACCCATATGCAGCAAGGCTTCAGCTCTTCCGTGTTACCAAATAATATTATTTCAAAAGCTCCTTAGAAAAACATGAGTAATTGGGCAAGTGACAAAGGACTTTCTGTTTGTCTTTTGAACAATGGAAAATACCACATAGCCGCAATTTGTTCCAGTTATTTAGTGTCTTTTTTCCAGAGCCATTTCGTAGGCACAGGGTTTAGTTCTGCAAGAATGCGGGAAGGTGGTGACTTATTTTTGTGCTTAAAAAATAAATAAGATTATTAAATTTTTTGAGTTTCTTTACTAGGAAAGTATTTTTTACTTGCGCTACTGGTTTTAGAGCCTGAGGTAGATATTTTACCATATATTACAAGTCTAAGGTTGTTTTAATAATCAAATGAGACTTTTAAATAGATGCTGGTATCTTCGCTGTTTCAGAGAATACTACAGTTTGGAAAAGCTTTGTACAAATGTTCATGTTTGTACCCTGAGAATAGTACGTTTGACTTGCAGATAGGAACTACTCAATTATCAAAACTAACACTAACCAAAAGTATCGAAATTTAATAGACTGATCAAAGTTGGTAATGCTGATTAAAGGGGGAAATGGAGGAATGTCTGCTTTTAAAACGTAAAAATTCAAGGAAGGAGCACTCGCAATAAATGACTCCTGCTGTCATGCAGTTGTCAGAAACCGACATGAGTGAGGGTATAGAGCAAGTAGTGCCATCTTCTGGCAATGTCGTGAAAAAATGCTTGTGTGATCTGAGATGGCAGATGTGTGGGATACACTGATGGTGTCAGTGGTGTATGTGGCAATATATAGGTTTAGTTACATATTTTAGACTGGACATTATGAAAAAATTTTTCACAGAAAGAGTAGTCAGACATTGGAATAGGCTGCCCAGGGAGGTGGTTGAGTCACTGTCCCTGGAGGTGTTTAAATGTCATTTAGATGTGATGTTGGGGAATATGGTTTAGGGGTGAACTTTGTGGAGTAGAGTTAATGGTTAGACTCGATGATCCCAAGGGTTTTCCAATCTGAATGATTCTGTGATTCTGTATTCTGGAGGAGCAAAATCTTTTTGAGGTGTTGGGTCTAAAGAATCTAGAGATGAGAAAATCGGATCGAATCCCTTAGGTTTATTTCCAAAATGTGGAAATAAACTTTGTAGATGCCCACTTGCTTGCCAGCTTTGCTGCTTGTCTTTTGACATCTCAAGCCCTTCTCTTTGAACTCTTCTGCCATTGAGTTGGGCCTCATGACATTTAAAGCTTCTGTGAAGAATGGCATTTTAATTGTGTTTAATTGTTCTGTTCTGGTCTCTGGATGAACAAGAATTAATCTCTTCCCAAGGTGGTAGATATCCCTGAGATGTACCCGAATCAACAGCTTCGTCAAGTCTACCATTATTATGAATCTGTTTTACAGTTAACTCTGGAAGACTTGGCACCTGCCTTCCTGTTGGCATGCTTCTACAGCACAGGCAGGAATCTCATCAGGGGTCTCACCTGCCTTGTGTTTTGTTTTTCAGGTGGCACCAGAGAGATTGGGTCTGCTCTCACCAGGATGTGTATGAGGCACAGAAGTATAGAGTCCAAACTCCGACAGTTCTCAAGGTAAGTGACACTGTACCTGGTCTGGAGCTCAAGGTTTGTCTTCCATTTGCTAGTGGGGACCACCTAAAGCTGTTCCCCAGCATTGGCTTTTCAGCTGATGTCTGGCCAATATAACCAAGAACAGCAGTTGTTTTCTCCTGCACAGTGCATTAGGTGGGGTGAACGTGCAGGATTTTACTGCATGTTCTGGGGACTGGGCTCGTCACCTCAAATCACTCTAAGCGCTGCAAATTCCCACTCTCAGTTCCTGTTGCTTCGTGCTGAGCAGGTGGCTGCTGATGTGACCAACCTGTCTTTGTTTCAAGACTTTAAGCTTTGTCACTGAGTTTTAAAGAAGCAGCAAGTGGTGTGCTGCTTCCTCGGTTTACTAGAGAGACCAAAAGGCTTGTGACCAAGAGAGAACCTTTCAGCAAACAAGTATGGGAAGGGCAAATTGTCTCATTGCCTTTTTGCAGTTAAAGTTAGATTGATGGGAGAGGATTAACCCACGTGTAATCTGGGCTATACATAAACAACCTACTTCTGTAGTAAATAGTAGTTTCCACGTGTGCCTTTTTTAACTGGATGTAATAGTTACACTCCACCTAAGGTGAACCAAAGTGATGCTTCACCATTTGCCTGATGAACTGGTATGTCTTTTTTCCCTTTTAAAATAAAGATATTTGTGAAATTGGCTGTGAGGAGACAACTTTACTCTCTGGTTACCCCAAAGTTAGCTGTTTGAGTGATTTCATGCCAGTCTCATTACCTAGTGGAGCATTACTAGTGCTTTATCACAGACTCCACTGGTGAGAGGTGAGACACATCAGTGGGCAGGATGGTGTTTGCTTTTACAGCTGCTCCGTCTTCTTGTGCCATATGCATGTGTTATTTAAGTTTATAATCTTCATGGCTGCATGAACTTTTCTGGGCCCCCAGTATCCATTTAAATTGTTCTTTGTGTGACAGATGAGTAGGATCTAACTGGTTTACTTTGGCCCTGTTTTGGGTCACTCCTCTGGTTTACGTTGTGTTCCTCACTGTCCTGAAATTCTCTGTGGTAATTCTGATTATCTTGTGATGTGGATTTGCTTTTGATCCAGTCCTTTCTTTTGCTTTCTCCAGCATAAACATTTTTATGTTCTGATATTTACATTGTGACACTGGTAGCTGTCGCAGCAAAAAGTAAAAATATTCCAATATTGACCTTGGTTCTCTATATAAGAATAGGGGCATCTGCAGGATTTGATTGCTCTTTGTGTTTTCTCAACAAAATTAGTGCTTTAATTGACTGTCTGATAAACCCACTTCAAGAACAGATGGAAGAGTGGAAGAAAGTGGCCAATCAACTGGATAAAGACCATGCAAAAGGTAGTTACAGAGGAAGAATTCTTTAATAGGAGTAAGATTGTAATATCAGCTTTTCTTCCTCTTTTCATGTTTGTACTGGGGAACTGAATGACGTGCTTAAATATGTATAGCAACTTTTCTCTTCTAAAACACTGCTCTCCCGAAGTGCCTAACAAATTTTTAACCCTTACGTATACATTTTGGAAGTTTAGTTTGCAGGACTTGCAAGGCATGGGTTGTTTTTCTAGACGGGTAAGCAGTGACTAGTTTTAACTCTCTTAGCCCACTCTCACAGTATGATCTCCAGTAGTGCTGGGAGTTGGGGATGCCACATTTGTCCCTGCAAAGCCCCGGGGTGTAGTTAAAAGCTAATGTAAGATCATGTTATGTCTCAGACGTAGCGTTCTCTAGAGAATGCCCAGCTCTGTAAACCATTCAGTATCAGTTTTTTATATCTGATGTGGTACAGAAATGTGCACCTGGGGAATGGGAAGGTTTCGTCGCTGGGACACAGGTTGCTCAGATCTGCGGTTTCAACGACAGCTCCAGAGGCTTTTCTGAGGCAATGAGCAGGAGGCAGCAAAGTCTTACACAGCAGGACCATGCTAGGAGGTGCCTTTGGCTTTGCAAAACTTTCATTGGGAATGATGACCCCTAGCATGGGTGCTGAAAGCAGGTTGCAGTTCACCACTGACCCTTGAAAATCAAAGATTTTTGCTATGTCTGAAAGAAGCGGCATCACCATAATTTATTTTTGGGAGGGTGAAAACTGATGGGAAGGATTCTGCTTGCCTCCAGAAGAGGATTTGCGTCTTGCCCCTCTGTTATTGTGGTCAAACAAAAGCAGCTAGATCAGCAGCTCTTGGAAAGATATCCTCCTTGTGCTGCAGAGAGTGAGCAGGAGGGAGGGATCACCTGGGTTCCTGCAGGTAGGGGTGACTGTGGCCAAAGATTTAGGGTTTAGTGGGTAGACTTGTGTGTTGGGGGGGCAGCTGGCCTTGGTACAGTTTCCATGCCCACCAGCAGCCTGCTTCTTTTTTTCCATCTCTAGAAGAGCAGTAACATTGACCAGCTTTGTTAAAGTGTATGTGTATATGTAGATACATGCCTACATGCCTTTTATTTATTATTATTTTTTAAAGTATCAGTTTTCATGTCTGGTACCTTTAGTGTGCCTAGACAGAATATTTTTTTCTGGGATTTTAATTCTCCCGGGATTTTCAGCTTGTCTGAAAATGAGGACAACCACAGTGTGCTCCAC